TGGTGGTGTCGTGATCTACTACCACTTGAATGGCGTTGAATCCGTTGGACATTGGAAGGCCCGTGATGTGATCCATGGTGATGACCGAAAACGGTCGCGTGTTTCCTGCGTGGGGAATAGGCATGGCGGGAGCTTTCACGGGGTGGGTGTTAACCTTGGATCCTTGGCAGATGGCGCATCCTTGAACGAATTTGCGGATGAAGTTTTCCATTCCGCCCCAACTGTACTGGCGTGAGACGAGTTCGATGTTCTGGTCCTGTCCGGGGTGGCCCATTACTGCCGGGTCGTGATGTATCCGGACAATGTCGCGTCGCAGGTCTTCATTCGGAGGGATGTAGATCTTGCCCTGATACTTGGCAACACCATCGTCCAGCTTCCAGTCTTCGGGTTTGCCGTACGGAGGTGGCTTGACAAGGGTTAAACGTCCCCGACCGCTGGTCTGTACCACCTTGGTGTCCTTCCGGGTGGCGTCCTTGATTCGCAGCAGTAGATCATCAGTGACAGCTCGAATAAATACCCCGTCATTTAAGACGACAACGTCCTCGTTGTCATGCTTCCCATCCGCATGGTCGGGGCGGCGGGACAGGGCATCGGCTTGGGTCAAGGTCTTCCCGGCGTGGTGGTGGATTTCGAAGTGAAACTGGCCGAGGAACGCACTCCATCGGGCCTGGCATCGGGTCAGCTTCTGTGCGGACCGCCAGTAGGTGAGGTTCTTGTGGTCAGAGATTACTTGGATGACGTGGGGGGACCCTTTGAGGTAGTGCTGCCAGGTTTCGAAAGCGCGGACAACTGCGAGGAGCTCTTTGTCGTAGATCTGATAGTTGCGTTCCGCAGGCGAGAGGGCATGAGAGAGGTATGCTACCGGCATCCAGTCCTGGTTGGCGTTCCGCTGGCGGAGGACGGCTCCAGTGGCAAACATGGAGGCGTCACATTCAATTTGGAAGGCCGCAGATGGGTCGGCCATGCACAGAATTGGCTTCTGCTGGAATAGGTTGCGGAGTGTGTCGAATGCAACCTGACATTCGGGCATCCATTGAAAGGGTAGATCTTTCCGGGTGAGTTGTGTTAGTGGCCGAGCGATCTTGCTATAGTCACGGATGAAGCGTCGGTAGAAGTTGCAGAATCCGAGGAAGCTCTGGACTTGTTTGACGGTGGTGGGTATAGGCCAGGCGTGGATGCCGTCGAGCTTGACTGGGTCCATGCCGAGCGATCCTTCGCGAATGATGGTGCCTAGGAACTCGACCTCGGCAGCGTCGAACACGCACTTCTCGCGCTTGAGGAACAGGTCCATTTCGATGAGACGCTGAACGACCAGCTGCGTTCGACAGTGGTGGACATCCTGTGTCTTGGAGTGTATCAGAATGTCGTCCATGTAGATGACGAGCCATCCCTCCGCGATCATGTCTTTGAAACCGTCGTTCATCATCGCCTGGAACGTCGCCAGGGCGTTGCATAACCCGAAGAACATCACGGTCGGCTCGTAGAGGCCGAGGGGGGTCTTGAAGGCTGCCTTCCACTGATCACCGTCTTTGATGCGGACATTGTTGTACCCGGCTCGGACGTCCAACTTCGTGAAGTACTTGGCCCCTTGCAACTGGTCGATGAGATCATTGATCAGGGGGAGGGGGTAGACGTTCTTGATCGTGCCGGAATTGAGGTAGCGGTAGTCCTGGACGGGCCGCATGGAACCATCCTTCTCGTCCACGAAGAAGAAAGGGGATGCCATCGGTGAGGTGGATGGGCGGATGTACCCCTTGGCTAAGTTCTCGTCGATGAACTTCCGAAGTTCCTGCATCTTGAGCGGGGACAGGGGGTACAGCTTGCAGTCCCGAGGTTTGAAGTCAGGTCGCAGGTCGATGGGGTGATCCCAGGCCCGGGGCTTGGGCATTTGTTCGGCCGCCTTCTTCTCAAATACCTGGTGATAGGTTTTGAGGTAGTCTGGGATGGCGACGGTAGCCTTGACGTCGGCTGCTTTCGACCTGGCTTCGACAGCCAGTTGGGTCGACACGGTGGTGCGAGCGATGGGGGTGTCTCCAATGATGAGTCGTTGGATGGTGGCAGATGGGTTCCATTTGGGATGGATGTCTCCGTGAAGGAAAGCGGTAAGGTGTCAGCGGGGGTTCCCTGAGGGGCGTTGATGGTATTCCCAAAGTCGCTGTTCCGCCCGTAGGTATTTGGCGTCGAACCGGACCTTGCCTTGTACCCAGTCGATGTGGGGGTTGTACTGGATGAGCCATGGCATTCCGAGAATGATGTCGTCCCGTCCGCAGTCCGCGACGTAGAGTTCGGTGGGGAACTCGTGGCTGTTGATTCGGAAGTGGCCTACGAACTTTTGGGTGACTGGTCCAGCCGTGTTGGCAGTGCCATCGACATTGGTGAAACGAAGGGGAGACGGTAGGGTGATGAGAGGGAGTTTGTGCTTCTTGGTGAAATTTCGGTTAAGGAGAGAAGCACTTGCTCCGCAATTGATGAACGCGTGAGCTCCGACGCTTGTAGACTCGTACTCGATGCTGCCCGGGATAAGAATAGATTGTCGTCGTCGTTCTGTAGTGGCAACAAACGAGATACTAATACAGTCAGAGGGCAGTTCTTCTGTCGGCGAAGACTGCCCGTTCAAAAACCCTCATCCGAATCGTCTACGTCGACCTGACTGATCATTTTGTCAGGTGTGTCTTCGCCATTGTCTTCATCGTCGGCGACTTCGCCATTCTCTAGTTCATCGACCTTGCACACCTTCCGCTTCTTCTGTCCAGGCTGTCGTCCCCTGGCACGGTTGTCCGCCTTCTTCTTAAGGCAGTCACGTGCGATGTGACCAGTCTTGTGGCAGTAGAAGCATTGCTTCTTCTCCCTGTCTTCCTTCATGGCTGGAGCGTCGACCCGTCGTATGGAATTGGGACGAGCAGACTGCCCTTTCGAGCCTTGACCTTGTCGGTCGTTGCGAGAGCGTCCCTCGAGTTGGCGCAGATGGCGTTCTTCGTAGTTGGAGTGTTCGATCTCCAACACCCGCGCTGCCCACTCGTTAACGGTGGTGGGGATGGGGTACGTGAGGCGAACCCGTCGTCGCATGCTTTCTGGGAGACGCTCCTTGTAGAAGGACAGTTGAGCACTGTCTTCGAGTATACCGGTGAGGGCGCAGAGGCGGAAGAATTCCGCATTGAAGGTGTCTGGTGCAGCAGGTCGGTAGTCGAGGTGGTACAGCTTGGAGGCGGCCATAGCGGCTTCCTCGATGGGCTGGAAGGTCTGTTGTAAGACAGTCTCAAACGCGTTCCAGGTGTTCCAGCCGTTTCGTCGGGCTTGGGCGATGTATCCGTCTTTCCAGGCGATCACTTTCGGTCCGTCCATAAATGTTAGGGCAGTGACGATGCGGCTCTGGTCGGTGGCGTAGTCGGCTGGTCGTGCCTCGAAGAACAGGAAGAGTTCATTGAGGAAGGTGCGTAGATTGTCGCGATCTCCGTCAAAAACATTGGGGGCGCGGACTTTGGTTCGTCCGGCGGGGATGCCTGGTACGCCGAGAGGAACGACAGGAGGTGGTCCACCAGGTCCTTGAGGGGGTCCGCCTCCCGGAGGGGGCCCGCCGCCTTGCGGAGGTCCGCCACCCTGCAGCGGTCCATCGCCTTGAGGGGGTCCGTCTCCGTGGGGAGGTCCATCGTCGTACGGGGGTATGTCACCCGGAGGGGGTCCGTCGTGAGGTAGGCCAGTGGGCGAAGGAGAGCCACTAGGCGGTGCAGCAGTAGTAGGTGGTATCACAGGTTGTGCTGTCGGGATCCCACTGCTGGTGTAGCAAGTGGTTTGACCGGGTTGGGCCCCTGTCGCCTGGCGTAGAGAGGAGATGCTGTCTTGTGGAGTGTACACGTTTCCAAGCTGGAAACTGGGGAGGCTGGAACGAGGTGGGGTGTCTGGGACGCTCGGCTCGTTCGTTGTGCAGAACGAGTAGACCCGGGTCTGAGCTTGTTCTTGCTGTGTTGCGGACATAGTGGCATCTATGGGTTCCGTTGCCGTGTCTGCGTCGCTGGGAGGTTCGTCCGGGTGTTCCTGGAGAAGACCGCGAAGGGGGGTGATGGTTTCGTCGTCGTCTTGAGGAGCGGGGTTGTCTTCCAACAAAGGTGTAGCCTCGGTGGGCTTGTTCGCTATGTCTGGTAGGGAACTCATGCGGTGGGTAGCAGGACTGCGCGGAGGGGAGGGGGCTGTTGTTCGATTGAGGGCCCAAGTCGTTCGGATCAAGGCTTCCTGCCTTTTCTGTGGCGCGTTTCCGGTGGTAACGTTGGGGCTGCTCTGTCCGTTGTATCGGTTGGGGCACAGGTGGTTATTGCAATTGCGCCTGTTCTGTCCTTCTCTATTGAAGCTGATGTCGCGTCGATTCTCGGGGTTGTATCGGTGAATATGTTGGGCGCAATCGGTCCGCTGCGTATTCATGCGGAGGGGTACCTAGTCCAGGTGGAAGTTGCGTAGAGTCGCCGAATAGTCGGAATCGGAACTAGCGTCAGGGGACTCGTATCCGTTTCGAATGATGCGACGGTGAGATTCGTATAGTTCCCTGGCCCCAATGAGTAGATGTAGGCGTCGGCAGTGTTCGGCGAAGTCCGGGTCCAAAAGACTCTGAATGTTATGAAGATTCTCGGCCTGTTCGCGAATTCGAGCAGCAAAGTAACTGGATCTGTGGCGTTCTTCTGGGTCGTGGCTAACGGGGATGGGGGGAAGGGGTGGGCTGACGAGCCGTTGGAGATTATGAAGGGTGTTGACGACCTGCTGAACTTGTTCGATGAGAACCTGGATGTGTGCTTGCTCGGAGATCGGGGTAAGGGTCGAATGGTGGTTGGTGATGTCATACAACGCGCTCGCGTTGTCCCGAATTCTCGTAAGGAAGGAGAAGATGTCTAGTGGTTCGGGGCTCGAGGGGTTGCCTGCCGATGATTCTTGCTCGGTGTTGACGAGTGATGGTAGTTCGTCGTCCGCGTCGTACCCGTCGTACCCGTCGTCGCGGAGTACCCAATGCTCGAGTTCGTCAAGGATAGTAAACTCGAGGCTTGCCTGGTTTGGTGCCCAAGAACCGACGCTCAGGCAATATTCGTTCCAAACGGGGCTGTGAAGGACGGCTCGTGCGTGAGTCCTTCCGATCCGGTCAAGAGTCTGTTGACGGATGTGTTCGATAGTTGCCTGTCTCTGAGGCGTCGGTGCTACCGGTCGATCGAGGAGTAATCCTTCCTGGTAGGTCGCACGTCTGTATGCTTCGTCGAGCTGCCGAATGGAACGTTCAGCGTCCGCTGGTGTGGCTTGGCGTCGTACTAGGTTGTACGCTCGATGTTCCTCGGGGGTGCGGTTGTGGTTGTAGATGACTACCTCGTCGTCGACGTAATTGACCGTAGTATGGTCACGGCCGTGCGTTCGTCGAAGTCTATCTGCGAGTTGACAAATAGAGTGCGCCACGATGAATCCTATCCAGGGCGTGGTGGAAGAACTTCTGTTCTAATGTTACGCTGAAGTACTAACACAAGTCTATCCAGACTTATCACGCGGACTTATCCAAGTATGCGGTGTAGCACACAGGGGAGAGAGTATCGCGCAAGTCCCTAGATTGAGGGATATAGGGATACAGGAGGTAACAAAGAGGAGAACAGAAGTGGGGAGCCTCTACTGACTACAGGCCTCCTTATATACTATGTAGTGTTGTGCAAGGCCGGGCTCCAAGCCCTGAAGCCCCGGGTACCCGGCCCCGAAAAGCCCGGCCCAGCCCAGCCCAGCGTCAGGCTTTCAGGGCCTGAGGGCCCTGTCACGGACGCTGGATAGACGCCCCTTTTTGCCGCCCATTCCCCTCCCCTTGACGCCCACCTTCCATTTTCGGACCATTTCCTTTCTTAGCCCATCCCAGTTTGGACACTGTAGATACGTTCCCACTGCCACATGCTCCGTTCCCGTGATCACCATGCTCTTGCCTTTTCTTTCTCGCCCTTTGTTCTTCCTTTGTCATCTTCACTGCCTCGCTCTCGCGCCTTGTCCTTGGTTGCTAAGCAGCCCCTCTAGTATATAAGGGCCCCCTTAGGCGCTCCCTAGTCCCCATCTCGACCTCTTGGTCATTGGGACTAGGTGAGTGACCATAGCGTTGTATCTCCCTTTGATTGCTAACGCATAACTTGGTCATTGGGACTAGTCTGTCGCTGTCTGCGTGAAGACTAGCTTTCGTAGGTCTCGTACCTTTGTGCCGACCTCCGCTCTGCCCTCGTCGAGTTTTCTGTCACGTTTATCCCTCTCCCTCTCTCTTTCCCCTTTCGGCTCCTTGCCGCTCGCCTACGGGGTCGTCGCCGAACGTCGATCCGAGTCTACGCGCCTAGTCGCCGCGACAGGCCCGGCTTGAACTTCTGCAAGCCTGAGCCCAGCCCTCAAGCCCGGGCTTGTGGGGTACCTCTGTATCAGACTGTGTAGGGTGTTGTACAGGCATCTGAGATGCTAAAAGGTAAGTCAAGCTAGGAAAAAGTAAGGGACGGCTCACCAAGCTACACAGTGTTGCCTCACGATGGACGTGGTGCAGATGGAAGTGGCCGATAGGGTGAGCGCTAGACCTGCCTGATTCATGATTGCAGCGCTCACTCGCTCCCTACCGTCTTCTCTTCGCCAATTGTGGCCATGAGCATGCCGCTTACACTTTCTTTAACATGTAGCAAGACCTCCATACGAATAAAGGTACGTGTCAAATGCATCTTCCTCATGTATATGTGATAGACCTAAAGTCTGGGCTTTAGCCCGACCCGACCCAGGCCCAGCCCGAGCCCGCCACTAGGGCCCGGCTTGAGAGTTCAGTGAGCCCGAGCCCTCCAAAGCCGGGCCCTAGCCCGGGGTTTTGAGCCCGGCCCGGCCCCGCACAACACTAATACTATGGGGTACCGACCGTATTAGGAAGGGGGAGGGAACCGACCAAAGTGGGGAGGTATGAGGAGACTGTAAAGGAACGCGTCTGGTCGAGGCTGGGCCCAGTATAGTACACGGCCTAGGTCAGGGTCCCGCGATATAACTGAAAGGGGATAGAGGCGGGGCAGGGTCCCGAGTCTAGGTCAGGGTCAGGTAATGTAACCGAAAAGGGAAAGGGGCACAACAAGGGTCGGGGTCTGAGTCAGGGTAAAGTAATGTAACCGAAAAGGGAAAAGGTCAGGGTCGGACTCAGGGTCCGGTCATATAGACGAAAGGGGAAATATTAAGGGAGAGGGCCGGGGCTAGGAACATAGTCGTCAGGGGGCGGAACGGGGGATGATAGTGTACAGGCGGACGACGGAGGAACGGGAAGGTAAGCATAGGTCGCCGGGAACAGGAAGGGGGGTGGAGTGTACACGAGGGCAACGAGAAGGAGTAGTCCAATAACGAAAAGATAGGGGGTGGGCGTACCAACGGTAACATATATCATCAGAAGTTGCTTATATCCATTGAGGCCTCTGATAGGTTCTCATCTGGCCTCCGTGTAGGCCTATCACTATAACAAACCCCTCACACCTCCCCCATCTACCTAACCCCTTCACTACTACCTCGAACAACTGAGGAGACTATCCGACCTACATCCGGTCTGATTACCTCAGGTGATAGTTGCCTACTCTTTCTATTAGGTAACTCTCACGCACGTCACAACTCCAACGACGATACCTTTGTAGTCATCCTGAAGACCATCACGAGCAAAATCAGACAAATAAGACATATCCTGTTCTCGTCCACAACTCTCAGCTCGACGCCAATAGTTGTGCATAGTCACTGGACAAACCTCTGAAGAATCAGAGACGGTAGGTTCCATATCAGTAGAGGTTGTCGTATCAGCGTCGGAAGTGGTCTGAGGAGTTCGGGGTGGTCTGTTCCGATTGCCGACCATGGTTTGAGATCCGCCCTCGTCGGGATTAAGACTACTGTGTTGTCGAAAGTCGACTTGGCCCATGTGGATCATATCCGACAGCCACTGAGTCACCAGGAATGAGCGGTGAGATAGATTATGGTGACATCACGTACTCTCCCAATAGCAGAAGCTGGCTCTTGAGGAGCGTAAATGGGGATGACAAGGGGTTGAGTTGGAAGATCCGAGTCCGCTGTGTTGTTCAATGACATCGTTGTAGAAGCGTACGTGGAGAGAATAGGGCTGGACAGCTCGCTTGGAGGGGCGAGTACAGGATAAAAGACTCCGAATCTCTGATTATATATACTCGTTCGACATCGGGCGCCAATAATTTGCTGAAGGATATCTACATAATGAGTCAGTGTACGCTGATTGGAGATCCAAAGTGGCATCTACAAAGATAAAATAAATGTCAGTATCAAACTAGACGAGATGCTTTTGAGTCTCGTGCAACGATTCGAGGCACCTTGGACAGCAAACCAAATATCCTAGAAGCACAGTGAAACAACGCGGTGTATCTTCTCGCCGCAGAGCCAGTACCCTGAAAGATCTCCGAACATCGAGTTTGAACTGTGATAGATCCGTGTAATAGTGAAGCATCGATGCAATCTAACAGCACCCTCCTGCGAGGGGTGAGTACCAACTGCCGTGGGACGAAAGTAGTAGATAAGCAACGCAATTCGTGTTCCGCAATCGATACAACGGAGTGTTGCTTGTCGTGGATATCTTCTTCCAAGATCACCAGTGTTCCAAGACAATAGCAGGTGAAGCGAGGACAAGCCAGCGCCGTGCCCACCAAACCAGTACCACGAGGCGTCGAAATTAGGATGAGGTAGGATCTGCAATGAGAACATGAGTCGTTGCGAACACTTCTGATAAACGATAGAACAAAAGGAGGGTCTCATTTGTCCAAGCTTCCCCAGAAAACGCAAGCAACACAGGGGCCCAGCGTATCAATGATCATGAGCAGTGGAAGAGTCATTTGCCGCTGCGATTCCGAGTGTGACGAATGTAGCACGGGTGCTATTCAGATTAGAGGCGACCCCCGCCACCTCCTTGCAGCCTCAGGAAAAAGTAAGTGTAACATCAGTCTCATGATGCACAAGGTCAACTAGATACAATGCAATAGATAATCCACCACCGTCCGAATCTGGCTAGTACCCTTGTCCCCGGGTAGCGCAACCGCAACCCTGTTCCCCATTGCAACCTACCAATCACCAGTGCTCGCCCATCTCGGCGGCCGCCGCCCTGCAGCAGGAGGAAGCTCCCTCTTCTACTACTGTGAAAACACGCCCCTGGGAGAAGCGCGAGTACAAGCCCGGGTGCTCGGCGAAGCAGCCACGCCCGCCCCGACGTGCAACGGGTTGTAGGGTGTGCTCACCGTCATGGCTGTCAGGAATGGCGACCCGGGAGTCTGCAGGGAGAGGTACAAGTTTCTTGGCAAACCCGCACCAAGTCCCGGCACGTACAATGGTGTTCCCGGAGTAGTCACAGATGCAGGATTAGGGCCGCCGTGGCACAAGGGCATATAGGGGGATAGGCTCAGCTGCGGGCTGTTCGCGGACGTACCGGTGAGTAGCATGCCTGAGTACGAGCCACCCTCGACAGCTCAGCCATTTCCGTGGCGAACGACACGCTCTTTGCGAGGGCAAAGATGGTGTTTTCCCACGCTGAAGCGTTTGCATAGAATGTCAGCGAGAACATGATCTCCGGGCGTATGTAGTTTCTCTTAAACCGAGAAAGATTGAATATGTGTTACAATCAGGTGCGCTTGGATAGTCAGGATACCCACTCGCGATACAGAGTATGCCGAATAGGCCTACCCTGTCCTCCGCCCGTCGGGATTGTATGGACAGTGTACATGGAGCAACGCATTCCGGGAAATGTATACAGAAGCGAGTACTCACATTGGCGGGGTATATTTACCACCAGATTCCACATTTTGTCCGCCCCGAGCTTGGATTTGAGCCACTCCAATATGGATTCGCAATATGGATTTGCCCAGATCCTCCAGGATAAGCAAGAAAGAGACGAAAGCAACGAGAGTGTGAGGAAGCCGCAAGACTCCGAGTGGGTCTTGTTGTTACATTCCGTGCCTAAGTCCCTCCGGAACTCCGTCGGACACCGCGCTAACTCCACCGGACCTCCGGACTTGCTTACGAATAGACACTTACGTACTGGTTCCGATTTCCTTTCCGTTTCCTTTCCGTTCCTCGCCGGGGCCCATATGGCTTTCCGAGCGTCTACCCTAGTTCCGCTGGAATGTCCGTTTTCCCATATCAGTGCCTGGCGCCACTTACATCATTTCTCCACTTAGCGTCGGTATTCCGCCACCTCCGATCGGACCTCCACCTCCAATTTGGACTTAAGGGACACCGGCTTCTTAGTATATAAACCCCCGGACTTAGTGCAGCGTTCCTCAGTTCGGATATCTTGTTACCTTACGCTCCGTTTGTACTCTATCGGTCATCTTGATCCAATCTACTCTTCCTGTCTCCGTCCGTTCTCTGCCAACCTTCGTCCAATCTCCGTCCAATCTCCGTCCAATCTCCGTCCAATCTCCGTCCAATCTCCGCCCGACCCCCGACTCCGAAATCGAGGACACCATCGGGATCCTCAGGGCGTTGCCAATAGCTTCGCCGAAGTCCTCCTCCCGTGTCCGCCCAGCTCCGATCCCGACCCCCGGAACTCCGGCGGCACAGTCCTAACATATGCACTCACCATGTCGGTATTCGAGTTCTCCTTGAACAGGATTAGCAGTGCACTGTAATGTTGAAACTGGGTACTCACAGTCTTGATCGATGATGATCGATGAATGTGGGACAACCTGCTAGATGCCATCAGACTTATGGGACTTCACACACAACACTAGAGACATACTATTGCCCTAATCAACATATGCCCGTATGAGAGAACAACTGCATATTGACACATCATCTGTCATCCGAGAGTCAATGGTCAGTACGTACCAAGGGGGAGATAGGCATACAGAGGGGATGCAAGAAGTACGAAGTCAAGACGTGAATGGACACAATGGCAGGTTGATATTGGACCATGCGATGACGTCATCGCGGTCGGATAAGTGATTTTGGGCAGGCAAGTCCCCCTTGCAATTGAAATCTGCAGAAGCGGTTGGGGATGTTGAGGGAATTTAGAGAGAATGTGCATGTTCCCAGCAGATTCCCATCAAGGGGGAATTTACTGGGGAATCCGTGGGTAATATGCGTGGAATACACAGATTCCCTGCATGTTCCCTGCCACCGTAATCTGGCGCTTCACGCGGTGCTAGCAGTGCTTGGATAGTCCTAACTTATCCTTTTGCCGAGTCATGCCAACGGGTGCGTAATGGTTAGGAAAGGCCAAGTTATACCTGCCCAGAGAACCTAAACACTCTCACAAAGAGCGGCAAAGAGCGATTCCTGGCAGGTGGTGTCCGTCGTGATGCATACTCAAGAAACTCCTCAGGGACGGGTTTGTCACCTCTAGGTGAGCAAACAATGCCTGTATACCCCGCCTATACACTGTGACATGTACACAGGTATGCATATTCTCATCCCTGCCCTCGCAGTTATATCTTGCCGCGTTCTCCCCCGGTATCATATAATGACAGGCATACATGAAGACGGCCCCAGGCAGTACTTGACGCAAACATCTCGCGTGCGTGGCTACCCACATGGCGGAGACTTCTGTGGACACCACCGAGGACAGTCCCGCAAGCGAGAACGACCTCATAGTGGCATCCGCAATTGATATAAATCCACGAAACGAGGTATGTGCTCTCGCAGTCAGACCTCCCGGAGCCGCGGCCGCGATGCTCAGGATCGTGCAACTTTGGCCGCACCGAGGCCTCTCAACACCACGCGTCCCAGCACAGGAATCGCATTATGCAAGTTTTTGGTCAGATCAGACGTGTACACGCTGCCCCAGAACATCTTCCGCACCGAGCAAGTCAGGACGCACAAGCCTAACGTCGCCTCGTTGATGATAGGTACGACACTGTCCGACGATGTATGTACTGCCATCAGCACAAGTGGCAGAAGCTCTTCTTGGACGACTTCGGGGCTGTCCACCACCGGTACAAGTACGTTGTCTTGTACCTCAACTACAGAATACCCCTCGATTCACCCGTTCGCAGATGTTGGACCTTGTATGCTTAGGAAGGACATCAAAATTTCTGCCGTGCTCGCCACTCTGAGCAGAGTGCAGACGGCCTCGTCCAGGAGATGCGCCCGTGGGTGAGGCGGATCTGCTTGTCGCGGCCGCGAGATCTGGATGGATGAGTAATTGGCATTTTGGACTACAAAAGGTGTCACCGACGCGGTCCAAGTTGACGCAGAATTTGGTGACGTTTGTCATAGACGGCACTCGCTGACGAGGGCTGGTAGCAGAGAAAAGTGGTTGCTCATCTGCGATATTGGATCACATGGCTTCTGTTACGGTCTCAACGTGTCATGAGACACTATATTCCTACATATTCGCTCCGGACCTGTCTCGTTAAAGTATTCCATCTATCAGTCTAGTGGCGGTAGCCCGTACTTCGTCCTCTCCGAGGGCCATTGCGGAGCGAGCCTTACGTAGGCTTTCTGCGTGCTTTGAACCCCTGGCATGTGAAGGGCGACAAACATAGATTGGAAGAAATTCTGGTTAAGATCATCTGGTTAGCTAGTGCTGTTAGCCCTGCAGGACTCATATACACTTACGATGCCCCATATTGCGGTACCAGGGGGAAGTGATGTAGGCGGAGGATTGAAAAGGAGACCTTCGATTACGGGATCATCTGAGCGGCGGGGTTTGAGACCCCAAACAAATTCACTCATCGGTCCATGAACAACTATTCCACGCGTCTTGCCATCACCAGCCCAAAATTCATATTTGATAAAGGTCCTCCTGGGGTTGCGGCCACTAACGCTGTAGTTATAGTCGCTGGTCTGTGAATTCGCTCTTGCGACGTCAGAGAACTCGACCGGCGCGTCTTTTCGCCTTTCTTCGAGTGCATCATTGCGCGCGCAAGGAAAAACAACCTCGCGCAGACAACGAATCACCTCATGCGGAACCCACGACATGGAATGGCCTGAGAAGTTGCAATGTCAATGATTGCTCCTAGCACAGACGACAATGAATGGTCACCAGAGTCCAAGATTACTTGTAAACCTCCTTCGAGGTTCATCTTGCCTCCCTCGATAGACTTCCATTCTGTTCCTTCTTGCTCGTAAAACTCCATAGACAGGAGACGAATTGTCCATGTCGGACGCTCAGATCCTGACTGATCTAAGATGGGGATTCTGGGGCTCCAGTCGGGTGTACACGGATCCGTAGGGTCCCTGAGAGGCCATTTTTGTTCAAGGATATCCAGCTTGCGCCAGGGTTGATCTCACTAGATCATGTATAGATCAGACGCGACTGCATTAATAGGAAAGGCTGTCTACTCACATCCGCCCCTCACGGTGTGCTGCAAAAGGATCAATGGCACAGTAGACGATTATGCCCGCCTCCAGCTATGGATCAAAGAGCCTGAGCGATCAGTGGATAGCCATAACTAATCAGATGGTTCGTCTCACACTGTCCACACCTAATAGTCCATCGGCACCCTGCAGGGTGCCACATTCAGGCAGCCTGTGGGGCACCAGTTTCTGATGCTAGCCTCTGCCAGTTCGGATGCCTCGTCGACGGATCTGGTCCTGAGTCTTGGTAAGATTGGGGCGTGAGCATAGGGGCCGGGAAGAAGCCATGCAGACGTCTGGCTTGCGTAGGTGAAGGGTGATGATCTGTTGCCTGTATATACGTCACAAGTCAATGTGTCGCGCAATATTAGGAGATCTCATCAATCAGTCCCAGTGAGAATAGACATGGGCTTAGTTGTATTAGGTCGATTAGTACGGTAATTAGTAGGGAACCCCGACCGTAATCTCAATTCTACTGATTTCCCTACTTTGGCTGTATGCGGTTAGATAAGGTGGTATGGTCGCACGATATCATACAACCATACTTCGGGTCAGCTTGTTTGTTATCGGTTGCAGCTAGTTGCGCTCGGGTCGCGTCCGGTTCTGGTCGGGCAGGGACGGTTGTCGTTGAAACATGTCATTATATGCAAATTGATTGATACTGTATAAAGTTGGATGTCGTCGTATGGCTACACGGTACGATACAGCGACAAACAGAACAGCGGAATGGACTGGGATCACAGTGGAAACAGTTGGTTTTGGTGGGATACAGATGCGATCAACCTCTTATGCCACTGGCACGCGTACCATGCAGCAGTGGAGCTGCTGTGATGGGAGCCACCGACACAGGAGGGAGGCCGACACTTCCGACGTTCGACTTGAGCGCGCCCGATTGCGATACTTGCGATGACCTGAAGGTGGCCTCATCAGTAGGGTTCGGTAATGGGACTCAATAGCGGTGCTCCTCACGTACCGTCTACCAGAGAGCAATGCGTACAAGTTTCTGCATCGAGCCTTTGAGCAACGAGGCACAGGCAAAGAGTTCAAGCGACCTACCCTGCGATCCGAGGGACTCAGGGTCTTGTAGTGTGCCTTGAAGGCCTCCAACGTGCCGATGGCATCTGTGTACCATTTGCGCATGTATACCTAGGAGAATGAGTGAAGCCAGGACCTAATCTGGTGAGTTGAGTTGATTGGTACATACTTTGCTCCCTTCAGGTCCAGTTGGGAAGGCCACTGCGTTGTCTTGCGAGGTACGCACATTGTTTTTTGTCACCGTTGTCTGCGTAGGCTTGTCAGGAGGCAGTATTGAGGAGCAGTGCCTCTAGAAGCGACATAGTGTGAGTGGCTTGCAAACGAAGGGATGGAGATGGTGGACGTAGTGGATAGAGGCACAGAATCTACATCGAGCGAATCCGAACATAGGCGCCTAAAGCGCATGACATCACATCCTCACCGAGGGGAGAGATCGATGCCGAGAAAAGGGGGAAATAGTAAGGGGGAAAATAGTGGGGAAAATGCAGTGTGTGGATGTTGGTTAGCGTACTGAAGAACTCCTCCGGATCCTCGAGTCCAACACCTCCTCCTCTCTGGCCCTCCCCTCATGCCTAACTCCTTGAGTCTGGGGACAAATGGGGAACAATTAGGGGTGGTGAGCACGGCGAATCAGCGGGGGAGGCACTGGAGCGGCGATACGGGTTAGAGGATTGTAGAAGTCTTGAGAGTAGGAGCAAACAGCAACACGTGTGGTAGCTTGCCTAAAGGGCACAACCACTAGTTCATTAGCACACATAATTTTCAAGAGAGGCCTTATAGACATGTTAGAGCCAAGTGAGAGACATGTCGACGTCACCGGTGTAAGGACAAACACGTCCGATCTGGTCACCGTAAGGTCAATTAGAGACATGCATTGAGCGCCTAAAATGTTCCGTCCAATTCAAATCGAGACCTCCCGACCTCAACCGCTCTTGCACGACTTTCGCCGATCCAAAACGGCTGAACCCATGTAAGTTTTCACTGGGAATCAGTATTGACTGACCTCGCTGAAGTCACCGCGACTCTCCACATCGCTCGGGAAGGCGACATCGGGGGCGGAATCTGATCCACTAAGTGGGATGCTCATGTCTTCTAGATCCCGTGGAACGTGACTCTCGGGGACAAGTAGTGGCGTGCGGCTAGCTGAATTGCGTTGAGCGACTTCAACATAGGCGCCAAATTTGACGATCAAGTCATATCGTGCCTAACGTGGTACGTCCATTAGTACTAGATGCATTTGAGTCACTGCACTCATTGTAGTCACTCTTTCTAGCGCAGGTCCCGGTGTTTCAATCAGGCAATCCGTGCGAGCACGCACGATGTCACTTCGGATTATGTCAGAAAGTCCGGCCCGAACGAAAACTCCGTGATGACGTGCAACAGGTTCATGACTGCACTTCGCATCAGCAAGGTTTCCCCGACCGGACCAACTCGAGCAGCCAGAACTCACACTTGTGGTCGACGTGTTCATGGCTCGCGTACCCATGTCCGAGGGTTGTGACATGCAGGTTAGCTGTGACCCTCTTCGCCGTGATCGTACCGTAGATGCGGCACGCGCTCCCGTCGGGCTGGTAATTGTACGTCGGCTTGAAGCTGCTTTTGGTGCGGCGGAGGAGGGTGTCGAAGAACCCGCGCGAGCGACCCGCGAAACAGCCTGGAGCACGGGAAGCATCGCGGCGTGCTCCTTCAGAGAAGTCGCCTGTCCGATGTTGAACTTGGTGCCGTCGCTACGGAAGCCGTCGCTGAGGTAGAGTCAGTCGCAAACGGCATCTCGGAGGTTGATGCTGAGATCTTAAATGACTAGAGATTAGCATCTATGCTTCGCCACGTATTACTACGAAACATGGAGGCGACTCGACAGGCGCGCGGCTGCATCTGATGGGCAACGTCTACAATGATCATCCTGCGGCCTTAAGGAGGCCCAAAAAGAGCTGCAGATTAGAGGTCAACTCTGAGATTAAAATGTACATAGCAAGCATGACTTACATGAAAAGGCTATCTCCCAGATATATCCGGGATCGGATATGCAAATTACTGCCATATGTTGCGCGTCTAGGGTTTACAGACTCACAAGGCAGTGTAAGCGGGATAGGCATACACTGTCCCCCGCACGTGGGGATAGTTTGGCGATCCACGCGAGCCAGCGCATTCCAGACAAGGTTTACATACAAGATCAAGTACGCACATTCCGGGCAAAGCAAACCCGTCACCATGTCCATATCAGTCTCCATAGACGCCAGTAGAAGGCGCGTGAGATATCCGGGTTTAGGGCAAGTCGGCCATCAAACCGACGACCATCAAGCTAAGTAGGAACAAAACACAAGTCCGAACGGTCAAGCCTGCCAGCTCTCCGATAGAATATGACTCAGAACAGGTGCCGTATCATGTGTCGTTTTGTATCACCGTCATGCTGAAACCAGCGTAGTCTACTCGAACTCGACATCGATGTCCTCGTCTACATATTTCAGATGCTCCGGCCTGCTCGTGGGCTGCGTTCGCTGTCATTCACTTGTCGATGGCTGAGGACGCTCTGCGCGCCTGTGCTTTTTGAGAGTTGTACTGTCACGATTAGAAGACCCATTACCACCCCTCAGTTCCTCCCGCCTACTTTATGGCCGTTCGTGAGGTGCTTGGACCCGATGACTTCTCCGCGACCTCCCACCTTGACGCTGACGTCTCGGACGTTCAAGGACCTTGCATCTCGTGGATCACTGCCCTGATCTGCGTTCCATGAGGTATCCGGGGGATCGTCTTTGGTTTGCTACGGACCCTTTGATTTGTGGCGTCCTAAGCAGCACTTTCTTGAAAGACGCACTGCGTGCTATGCCCCGGTTGCGTTCAGTACATGTGGGCTTTCTGTGGATGGAGGAACACGGTCTTGGCTGGGACGCTATCGACGCGATCTTGTCCGCATCTCAGCTACGCGAATTTACGATCAGGACGTACCTTTTCTGCCCACGAGAAGCTCCGGCTCGGGAAATTCCTCTCGACCACTTCGCTCGCCTCACGACCTTCCATTACGCGCGATTGCCATCTCACTTCGGATTGCACGGGGATGTCCAGCGTGAATCTCTTGCCGTCGTCGTTGGCAACCTCAACCTCTCCCTCGAACGTCTCCGTTTGCCCAGCGACCTCGCTCCGATCGCGACGCTCGCATCGCTTCCTTGGCCGCGGCTACGCGAACTCAAGCTGGACGGCGCTTATCCGCCTAACCTCGATGTGCCTCTCATTTACGTTATCTCACGAATGCCTAATTTGCGCAAACTTGCTCTTTTATTTTCCTTACCTTGGGATGACCAAAGCCAAAGGAAAGCCTTGTGGCCACGCGGATGCTCCCTGGATTTCCCCCTTCCAGACCTCGAGGAGTTAACGATCTCCTATCCTGATCCGGAAGATTGTTTGTATTCCCATCTTCCCCCCACCCTTCGACGTCTGTCACTCCGATGTTGTCCCCATCATTGCGTACATGTTTGGAAGCCTGGGGACTGTAGACGTTGGTACTCTCCCATACCACATGCCTCCCAACTCTGGCGGATTTTGTCGGACGTCAAGGTCCCTCTGCTCCAACATCTTCAGTTGGAGTACATCATCGACTACGCAGACGGTGCACTGCTAGGAAGCATCGCAACTCTCTTCCCCGCCATATCTTCCCTAGAGATCCATCGCTTTCGAGATGACGACAATGCGAAGGTTGCTATTGTACGTACCTGACTCTGTGTATAGGTCGCAATCTAACTTCTACTCTGCATAGATGGATATCATTCTGTGCTTAAAAGAATTGCGTCAATTGCGGATGATCAGTCTCCATCTCGACTTCCCAGAAATCCCGGAACCAAGCTGCCTCTCGCGGAGGGGAGGCTACTACCTCAGTCCGAAGGATTTCCACGACCAGAAGACGATGTTCGCTGCCCATGCCAATACATTAGCTCGTGCCCTCAGTCGCTCCGACTACAAGCTCCGGCTATTGGGGAGAGGGGATGACGGCGGCGAGTGGTTTCTTTATCATATTTTGACAGGTGAAGGCGCCGATACTTGGCAGATCCGCCTTGACCAAGACGGTCGTGAGGTGCGTCAGGGTTTCGCGGATCGGAACTCATGCTCATGATTTCACAGGAGGTCGTTGCGAATGTATTTTGACACGTGATCGGCGACAATGCTGTTTGATAGGTCATCGCCTGTGTTCCCCTAGGGAAACGACAACAAGCGCATCGCGTCTAATCAGTTTGCGAACTCTTGGCTACAATATGCTCCTACGGTACTTGGAGGACGCTCTTGAGGTCCCCAGTCGAGAGTGGCTCGACGACGACGAAGCCGTTACTCGTCCACTTCCAAAACCCAAGACGCACAGCGCCACACGGGAGCGTGACGGTATTGACCATGATGTTCTGTGGTTCCACATTCAGGCTCCTTGGCGAAGATTTCACCGGAGATGACCACACTGAAGGGCTGTTCCCAGCTCGGTCTGGCGAGTCGCGGCCTCGCCTTGGGTAGCATAGATGCCAGTACAAGGCGCGCAGTGACACGCCATGTGCAATGGGGGGACTTGCATGAGTCTTTAGATCTCATGGATGGGTTGAATGTTTCGTATGTAGGGTACATGCATTGCGAAAGAATGCGACAAGGTCAGTACAGGTGACTCCCTTCGTGAACCACTTCCACGTGCAGGTCCCCATCGTATACAGCCCGCGTCACGCGGAAGACCATCCAAATTGAAGTCGGCCTGTGTTTAAACATCCAAATCTCCTGCAGAGACGTAGCCATCGCGCGGGCCAATTCGCACGCGGCTACCTTCAACGTGTCTTCAAAAGAGGTGACCACTTGGTTGGCTACAAGTGGTCTGTCCACAATAAGACCGCCAAATTGTCTTCCGAACGTGGGTGGGGGCATGTTGCGAAAGTCGAGATGCAGCTTCAGGATGCTGAGAGACGCGAGGGGTGCTAAAGCCTGCGCGAGATCTGACTGGATTTATCGACACAGACGTCAGCAGATCACCGGGATGAACAATGCACACAGACCGACTCACCAGTGAGATATTGTCGCTCCTCTCTGTCCGATACCGATGAATCTCTAGCGTAGTGAGACGCGGAAACTTGACGGCTATCAGCCGAAGCAAGCTGCCTTCTTTCATGTCTTCCTTGTACTCTACCTCAAGGGTGTTCAAGTACGGTGTATCACAACTTCTGATGACATCGAACAAGTTGGAAGCGGAGGAGAGAGGGCACCGAATCTGGTCACCGAGATAACGCGACACTGCCTGCATCTGGGCTTGGATGCATTGATGTGGCCACGATCGTAGAGCGAGAGAGCTTAGGGAAAAGGGTAGATTGGTATAGATCTTGTCTGAGGATTCAGGACGCGACACGCGGAGGCACTCCAGCTCAGGCCATGGAAGCGTGGCGTCAAAGCCCTCGGGCCAAATCGTGTGATTTTTGATCCCCTGTTGGTGCGAGACTTCCAGCGAAAGGCTGCGGAGAAAAGACATTGGTGACAAGAGAGAGACGATGGGTGTGGTAAGGGAGACCGGATACTCTCCACGGAGTGTGAATGTGCGCAAACACGGCCAGTCCAACTTGGACATTGCGGAGATGGGGGCGCTTTGCACGGGGAGCTCGAGGTGTTCGAGACAGTGGTGAAGCCGATTTAGGAGGTGATCTAGCGTCGAAATTTCGGATGGGAAGTTCCACAACTGGAAGTAGCTATGCAAATCATAGCGGAAGGTGGTAAGCGGAGCGACCACAAGAGCGCTGAACTCGTCATGATCCACGTCGACAGGGGAGAGGTAGAATTCATGAAAGTGGAGGTGGCGCAGCTGCGGTATTGAGAGGATTGTTTTCAAGGTATTCCAGGATATGCCGTGTTTCTTGATGTCAAACGACCACAGGATCAGAGTGGTTAGACGAGGTAATTCATGCAAGACCCTCTCGAAGAAGACGCCACTGAAAGCTTCGCAGACTAATGGGTCTTCGGTATCTGGAATACGCTCGGAAAGAGGAGGACAGTAGCATGTGATATGCAATGTTCTGAAAAAACTGATGTGAGATGATACGATGACTGACTACTGGCACGCCGACTCACCTGACATGTGGCCACAGCGTGGATGGAAGGATCGGGCGGGTCCGGGAGCTGCGAGGTGAGACAGCGAGCTTCTGGCGACATTCACTGAAGAGAATAGGCATGGTTGCGTTGCGAAGCCAGCGACATGTGCACGAAAGAGGGCGAAGCCCTTGATTGGGTCGCAGCATTTCGAATAACTCCAGAAGGATGTCGTCGTTGAGTCGGGTCAACCTATGCAAATCAGCTACAAGGACAAACGTCGAGGCTGCCTCTCACATGTCATTATGAGTATACATATGTGATGAAATCGTATGTGACGGCAGATAATCAATAATTGGTGGCCTAGTTGCAATTGAGGTCCGAGAGATGGCAGTAGGATAGCCGCGCGGCGGCCATGCTGCGCTAGCTTTCAATGCAATTATGCAGTCGCTCGGATTTTCCCGATCAAGGAGGGGCCAAAGGCGGTCGTATGCCTGTTGCCGCCGCCCCATACGTTCACTGACAGCCCGAAAGGAGCGTCATACACCGCAGATTTCAATAATGATATGCTAAGCAATCCAAAAAATTTTCTACCGAAACGACAATCTCACGTCGAAGGTATTGAGCATGATGACGACCGACCCGCTGCTTGATATGGCACGGCCGCTGCGAAAGCTGCAACGTGTGCGAGACCGGTCTGCCAGAAATCATATAGCTCAATGTTCATACATCAAAAATAGGGTGCCGGCCATAACACCTAATGGGAGACCGAACATTTGGGAAAAGAACGCTGTAAGGACACAGATGCTGGGATGAGCCAGTGATCGACACTGAAATCAATACTCACAACCGATGGTGAAGCCCCCGGCCCAATCCCCCCTGAGACAAGAGTAGACGACCGCAACAAAGAGCGGAAAAAAAGCCAAAGCTATGGTGGCCCAGAGTATACGGCCGAACTGCGGTCGCTCCACAAATTCAACGCCGCGATCCGATTGCTCTGTTAGAGCGCGCACTATCTCACGATTGCCTGCCTGGTGTTCAGGGTGCTTGAGTAGGTATCGCATGCATGCATTGCGCGGCGGTGTATGCTTTTCTGTGCCCATCCTCCGTGGAACTATATGCGCATGATTATCGCCCTGCAGTCTCATATTCAGACTTGTTGGCAAATGTCTCAGGGATGACCTCAGTGGACTGACCTTGACCGTAGTAACATACCTGTAGACACGGTAATCGTTATTCTGAGGAGCAGACCCATGATGGACAAGCCAGCAGGATTGCTTACCAGAGATCCATGAAGGAGAAGTACTTCCCGCTCCACGTCCGTAACTCGTCGTATGCACTTGCGAGCTCCCGCAACAGAGCCGCATCGTCCCGATCGCGATGAATCTCGATGTGCCTGTGATCGAACCCTCTGAAGACATCCAGCTGAAAGACGTCCCAGGGCGGATTCCAAGTAGATGCGTCGCGAATGGCCGGGGCCTGTCTTTCCACGTCCGGCGGCGCCGGGATTGCCTCGAGCTGTGGGATCGCAATGCTGTCTAGCGCAGCGATGAGAGGGAGACTGCCTGTGCTATGTCGCGAGAGAGGACTGGAGGACACTGCGTCCTAGACAGCTTCAGGCTGAAAGGCATTTGTGATTGGGAGACCGACAAAGTCTACAGAGGAAACGTGAGAAGGATCTACGAGCATGGGCTGCGGAGATTGGTTTTGAGAGCGATAACTACCGCGTGCGTCTGCCGGAAGAGACCGCAACAGGTATTCTGGATGAACTGGGTGGACTGCCGTAGGCTGAGCACGATGCGCGCCAATCTCCGAATGGGGGCCAGGTCCCGGAGAAGCCTCGACAACCTTGACTGTCCACGACTTCGACATGCTTCCACTCGGAGCAAAAGCCGACACAACTCCATGGACTCCAGCTACGCGCTGCTGATATGGAACTTGCGGGAGAGGGCGTGGAGCACGGGTGTCGTGCCGGGTTACCGAGCGGGTACCTGTGGGAGCGACCACAAATGATTGCATCCTTCTAACGGCGGCTGGGATGCCAAGGACATCTGGCGAAGATTTGAGGACATGGTGAGGCTCCCAGATCCGCTCGGAAGCTGTGTCATACGGACTAGCTGCACGCTCAGGCGGTGCATGTGGCTTGCTCGCGAGGTTGATAGGAGGGGGTGGGAGTCCTGACAAGATGCTCGATGGCGCAAGGGACATAGGCGAAGCAGGTGTGTACTGAAGGACATCAGAAAGGTCTTCCTGACCACGCCGTTGAGAAGGCTTGAAACGGTCCTCGTCGTTAGAGGTAATAGCTTCCAAACGATCGTCATGCAGAGGCGAGGGGAGAGATCTAGGAGATGAGCGAGCACTGGTGATGCTCCAGAGGGAGGCATTCTCCGAGTCCGATGTCCAGTCTCCGAGGGCATCGCGTCGGTGGCGCCGGCGAGCTTGCGACTCGAGCCGGTGTTTGTTCAAATTTCCCGACAACTGGCTGAGGTTGTCAAGAACGTGAGTCGGGGAAGGAGGACGACGTGGCTGAGTGTCTGGAGATACACCTGCTATACGCCACAATGCGGTGATGTAGAACGTCAGTCCTTCGTGATTGTACCGTGAGACGAGCTGATGCACTTACCTGACGAGCCGATTGACACAGACGCACAATCTGAAACTTCCGAGAAGTCAATCCAAGAGTTCTGAACCCCCCACTCAGGCGGTGCAGGTGCCCCCTGCAGTGGAGGAGAAGGATAGGCTATCAGCCCTGGCTGAGTACGGGACGGCCCACCATTGGGCGACATTGCATGGCCTACGGGTAACGCTGCATTTGACTCAGCGTACGTCGGTGGAGGAACAGTAGCATCGTCATCGTCCTCAGGAATCCGGGCTAGTACTGCAGACACGCACGGTGCGGTTAGCGACCGAAAGGCAGGATACAGCAGGGGGAAACGCTAGCTTGGGCTGACCATTATACGGTCGAGACAGAGTGTTATAGTCTCGTACCTGAACCCTCTCAATGAGCACTCTTACGCGTTCCAGCTCACGCTCTATCTGAATCAAAACATGCAGATCCATGGTAGAGAGAGGTGCGGATGCGGGTCGGTCTCGAGCCGGTCGCTCCTTGTGCCCTTTATCTGTTCTCTGGTCCAGAAAGGTGCCGTCGTCGTCGTCATGCTTCTCAGGCTATGTTGACAAGTAGACGGAGGCAGTGCGCGGACGCCGAGACAGCGAGGCACGAACGCTACTTCTAGAGCGAACGCCATGTTCTACGAGCACGGGCGTGAGGCAGTATAGTGCATTGTTCTAGTCGCATGACTTACCTGATACAGAAGTTCGGCGATACTAACCCTGTTTGTGGAAATAGAAGCTGCCAATTCTGACAATGGAAGCTGGATATCAGAAGACTACTGACTTCCTCATGGGACACAAGCCCCCAAAAGATGAAGGTTAGGCATGGAGTTTAGGAGGAACAGTTCACAGTTCTTGCGTTGAGTCGCCTAGAAATTTGAGCGTTGAGTGGGATAACGTAAGTGAACGGGACTGCCGTGCAGGAATACCTCCATCTGAACCTGTACCAACGACGAGGAGCATGACGCATGGTTCTTTTGATCCCGGCATTGAAGTGTCCTTGGCAGATGGCGAGGCTGTAACAGGTACGTACCGTCGATGATTTGTGCCCGTGCATTGCCCCTATTGTCCAGAGCCTGGGATCCTGAACGCGACACTCTCCCATGGACGTTGACGACTTCTTGCCCAGGATGAATATAGTACCCACAGGTTAACGCCGAAAGGAGTGGATCATGTAATGCGGTAGTGTTCGGAGCGTTGGGCGAGCGGTCCCGTCTGCGACGACGCCTTTCTAGTGAAAGCATTTGGCACAAGAGCCTCGAGTAGAATTCTCTGAGCGGTGATTGCCTAGGATTCCGAGGCACCGGAGCGTCGTCCGCGAAGGACGAGATTGTCTGGCGGGGCCTTCTCTTGACTTTCGGATATATCACTATGCAAAACGTGGCATAGGTTACACTACGCACGTGTATTCGTAGCTGGACTTGCGTTCTCGTAGTCCTGGCACGTCGTCGGGTTTCCCGCTGCTGTTTTCCATGGGATCCGATCTGTTCGCTACTTTGGCTGACCTCGTCTCCGTGGACCTGGTGAAGAGGATGTTCAGTGCGGGTATCAGCAGCGACAATGAAGGAAGTACAACACTGACCAGAGTTGAAATAGCCCTTGGAGCACGAACCAGGCGGTAGCCCACTGGGCTTGCAAATGACTTCACCAATGTGTGGCGCCAAGTATCGGTTGCGCAAGACCCATGACGACGGTGGAGTCCACAGAATCTTATATAGATAGAGACGACAAGGCTGCATGCAGCATAGGGGATCTGAAACTTCACTTTACAATGCCAGTACGTGATTCCACGATTTTGGTGAGAGTAAGTGTCGGCTCGGGCTGTTGTTGATGCCACATTAGGGTGTGCGGGACAAAGAAGGTCAACCAATTGAGGTGGGCGACACTCTTGAGACTAACTTCAGAGGGGGGAAACGTACGGGCAAAGTGAATAGTGCCACTGATGATAGTGTTAACAGAACGATCTTAAGTCACACGGTGTTAGGTTGAAGCCGTAATCGAAAACCAGCATGACGTGAAAGAGCGAGACGACATGTTGAATGTGGATGTCAAGAACCCGCCGAAGGTCGTCTATACAAACCAGGTTAGTGCGCCCCGTCATAATTGAGCTGGAAAGATGACATACCGACAGTCATCTTGTAGCACGGACACCAGGTCTCACACAACCCCGGAACGTTGTCCCATGTTAAGGAGGAAGAGAAGGCAACGACGTAGGAGGAGAAGAGGGCCGTAGTATCTGTATACTCGGAGCACCATGTCCAAGCATTGACCTATGCATCTTCTCATCGCCATCACCCCACGAGTGCTATACGGAGTTGTTGAGGCATGTAACAGAGCTGGGTGCCGCCACTGGCGACGATGGGTCGCGTGGGTGACCTTGCAAGACGTCGAACTCCTATCACAGTGCCGGCTTGCCATATAAAGCCAGCCGAGTCTGAGCTCATAGATAGATAGAAACGATGCAGTACATGAGCAGCTTCGGATGAACCTCGCGGTCGGTAAAACTGGGGACGAGGAGGACGAGGGCAGACCTCTGGCAACAGAGGTCACGGGTCGAGCGAACACGTCGACCGGGCGCTTACGCATCATCTAATTTGGCCTTATACCATCCCTCCTCTGGTCGCTCTGGCAGCTGCCTATCCTCTGTCTCGTCGTCGACGACCTTTCCAATCTCGGCTCTGAGGCGACGATGGCAACAGCGACGAAGACCTCCGACGAGCACGATGATTCCTCGCTCCTCACTAAGCTCGACGAGCTCGTGCCTGCCCCCCTCGCGCAGTTCGACGCATTTCCCAAGCTCCCGGAGACATACAAGACACACTCGGAGTCTCGCGGATTCCTCACTCTCTTCGTTGCTTTCGTTGCTTTCTTGCTTATTTTGAATGATCTGGGTGAATTCATATGGGGGTGGCCAGACTTCGAGTTCGGGGTAGACAAGATGCCCTCAGCTAACTTGGATATCAATGTGGATATGGTAGTGAATATGCCCTGCCAATGTGAGTCATTGCTTCTGCATACATTGTCCGAAATGCGTTGCTCCATGAGCACTGTGCATACAAACCCGACGGGCGCGGGACAGTGTACGTCCATCTGGCGTACCCTGTCTCGTGAGTGGTTGCGCGATGTCTGAGAGAGCATCTATGCATGCTATTCCCACTCGCTATCTATGGTTGCATGTCGGGGTTGTCCTCTGATGTCAGTGACTGCCGGTCCCAGCTCTTTTTTCGACCTGTTAAAGGTAACAGGATGACCGTTGTAGACGTTGCCCCGCGGATACAGCCGCGCGCACATGGAGTCGTACGAGGACACCTCTATGTTCCGTAATTAATACGTGGCGAAGTACAGATGCTGATCTCCATTATTCTAGACCTCAGCATCGACCTCCGAGACGCCGTCGGTGACCGACTCTACCTCAGCGACGGCTTCCGTAGAGACGGCACCAAGTTCGACATCGGACAGGCGACTTCTCTGAAAGAGCATGCCGCGATGCTCTCTGCGCGTCAGGCTGTTTCGCAATCGCGTCGCTCTCGCGGCTTCTTCGACACCCTCCTCCATCGCACTAAAAGCAGCTTCAAACCGACGTACAACTACCAGCCCGACGGGAGCGCGTGCCGCATCTACGGTACGATCACGGCGAAGAGGGTCACCGCTAACCTGCACGTTACGACGCTTGGGCATGGGTACGCGAGCCATGAACACGTCGACCACAAGTGTGAGTTCCGGCTGCTCGAGCTGGTCGGGTCGGGGAAACACTAATCACGCGAAGTGCAGTCATGAACCTGTCGCACGTCATCACGGAGTTTTCGTTCGGGCCGTATTTCCCGGATATCACCCAGCCGCTGGACAACTCGTTCGAGATGGCTCATGACCGTACGTGTCGTGCAGTTGGTACTTGCTTGGTTATGCGTTCTTAATGTCTCACATCCACTGTAGCATTCGTCGCATACCAGTATTTCCTCCATGTTGTGCCCACGACGTACATCGCACCTCGTTCGAAGCCTCTGCACACGAACCAGTACAGCGTCACGCACTACACGCGTGTGCTCGACCACCACCGCGGTACCCCAGGGATTTTCTTCAAGTTCGACCTCGAACCGATCCATATGACGATCCATCAACGCACTACCAGTCTCGCCGCGTTCTTGCTTCGGTATGTCAAAAGTCACTGTTTACATGCCTATAATCTGACGCAATCCGTTCCAGCTGTGCGGGAGTGGTCGGGGGCGTCTTCGTCTGTATGGGCTACGCGGTGAAGATCGGCACGCATGCCGTCGACGCTGTCACGGGTGCCGAGAAGACGAACGGTATCGTCGCTGCCGAGTCGACGTCGATTTCCGCGAACCTCCGCAAACGCTTCGGTGCGGGCGACCTTCGTCTCCGTCCCGGCAAGGAGCGCGTCGTCCGCCACGGTAACGGTTGGGCGGTCGAGGGCGGCTCGCCCTACGGCTCGTATGCAGGCACGCCACTGACGGGCACGTTCGCGGGGAGCCCGCAGCCGAGTCCATCGCCCTATACGCCGTCGTACCCCGGCAGTCCTAATCCTGCATCTGCGACGACCCCACGGAGTCCATCGTATGGACTAGGACTGGGCGCAGGTTCGCCCAGGAACTCGTACCTCTCCCCGCACACGCCTAGCTCACCATTCCCAACAGCGGCGACGGTGGGCACGCCCTACAGCCCGTCGCATGTCGGGGCAGGCGTGGGTTCTGTGCCGGGTACGCCGAGTTTGTACGCACATTTCCCTCCGACGCCGACGCCGGGGTCTGCAACAGGGGCAGGGGGTAGCGTGTTCGCGCAGCAGCAGACGAGTGTGCTTCCTGCTGCAGGGCCGCCGCCGAGAGGGGCTAGCAGCTTGAGGCACTCGAGTAACGGGAGTGCGAATGGGAGCGTGGGTTCTGGGAAGAAGGATGATTGATGCGCTAAGGCGGGGACAGGAGCGTTGGTGAGTGGTAGATCGCGGTTGCAGCACCCGGGGAGATGGGTTGTAGCCGGATTCGGATGACGATTGTACTATCTATTGTGCTGTACGCAGTTGGCGTTGTGCATCATACGGCTGATGTTACGCTCACTTGATCTTGAGCCTCGAAGAGGCGACGGAGGTCGCTTCCGACTTGGATAACCGCCGTGCACCATGCTCATCACACTTCGAACTTGTTCCAGCCCACGGAATTGCGGCGGCAAATGACTCCGCCGCTCATGATCCCCAGTGAGAACGTGCCCGATTCGGGTCGAATTCGGTCGAATTCGATCGTATGTAGTCGTGCAACCCGAAGTTTTACGACCATCCGGACTATATACGACGGCTGTCGTATTCGGCGGTATAAGGTAGTCTGAAGGACCCAGTAGAATACGACTGCTGTCGATTAGAGTCGTCGGCGGCTGTCAGCAATTGGTTGCAGTAGAGCGATATCGGGTCTATTCGTTTACTAGATTCGAGCACGCTATTGGATGATATGGGTGGAAAAAACGGTATTCCATCGTATAGGATTGTATTACTACATGGTATGATACAGCTACTGTTGGGCGCATTTGAAATCTGTGAACGCTACTTCGCTGGGACACATGCTAAGGAGAGTCGAGAGTGAGAAGAGGATGCTTCAGCGCGCACATATGTAGTCATGAGGCACAGAACCAAACATCACCTCAAGCAGCTGCATGCGCCAGGCAGAACCTGGATGGATGAGCTGGGAAGGGAGTTGAAACGACGTAACATAGTGTATCGTCCAGGATTGCAGGCGGCCTTCTGTCCAGCAGGTTGTGTATACCGTCTCTGTGCTGTAGTCTTCACATACAAGAAGGGCAGGCGCATACAATGGGGAAGTGGAGGGGAACACATACCACCAAGATACATTGGTGATGAGGCTCACCTGGAATGATGTTGCAACAGCGATGGTACCATATACGAAACTCACCTTGTACTTATCCTCTCAACCACCACGCACCTTCATAGCTTTCCCAAACTCCAACATACCTTTATGACGTATAGAACGGCGTGTGCACTGTGTTCTGACCAAGGGAGGGGTGTGTGCCATACTGGCCGTTAGGCAAGCAGGAGGAGAAGAGAGTTGGGGAACATGGGGGATGGCGGTGGTCTGCGCAAGCAGCGACTCCACCCCAATGACGTCACCATGTTTAGGGCAGGTTTTCGCCGCCGGAGAACAGAGACTTCGCGTCTCTGGACCTTGCCGTATTGTAGACAATCACAATAGAGTTGTTTTGAAGAGGGCATTATGACATGGTCCCTTAGTGAGAAAAATGGGAGATGGATTGTAGATCACTGGCTCAGTTGGGTGATGGGAGAAAGCACCAAGAGGAAGCAGAAATCTTACATGGCGGAGCGAGATTGGAGCATGCAACGCTAGAGACAAGCACAAGCTAAGCTAAGACAAGTACTACGGAGCGGCAAGCTAAGGCAATACGGAGTGACAAGCTAAGGGGTTGCAAAGCGACAGCTACAGAGGTACCGGTACGGCAGACATGATGCCCTTAGAGACATGCGTGTCCGATCTCGCCAACATGGTGGATTCACGGACGTCAGATGGGCGCTAAACACTGCCGTCCGACCTATATCGACACAACGCCAGTATTTACAGCCGGGCACGACCTCACACAACCCTAATCAATTTTAATCAAGCACGTTTTCACTGGGCATGATCGTCGATGCGTCGAACGTCAGTCCTGCGTGCACTCTCTAGGGAGATATGATCAAATTAAGCCTTCCTTTTGTTCTATTGTCTGTCGAACGTATTGTCAGGCCCGAGGATCCTGCTTCTGATATGGTGGTCGCGGCGCTGGCCCGTTCTCGCTTCACTTACTGTTACGACCGGGTGGCACCTCTTGAGAAGTGATGAATGGTACAACGAGGCGAGTCACAAACGTGTTCCATTGGAGGAGCTCTACTCACCGCTCATGATGGCACAAGTTGCGCCCAAGAAGCACTGGACGGGCGGTGTCAGGGGTTCCACGACCTCAATCCTGGATCCTACTACACGTATTTGTCTTGATGGTACTTATAGACCTACCACGGGCATCTTCGGCCTCATGGTAAGCAGAGAGGTTGCGCGTTTAGTACCCAATTATCGTCTGCATCATTACCCTATGCAGAGTGAACATACAGGTCTCAGGCCATCATTATTGACTTGACTCTGTATTTTTGGATTCCGGATTGTTTCTGATAGGTCAACAGTCGTAGTAGGAAGCACATGTTGCGAAAGAATGTCCTACAACGTTCGTCAGCAGCAACGGTCCCAGAATGACGTCGTGGCGCACGGCGATGACGACAAAACATCTCACGCTGCTCTGAGCAGGCGATCGAAAAAGTATTCTTCGATACTGCGTATGCTGTAGGTAGCGGCGCATATTATGAATATGTAACCATGTTGCAGAAATCAAGGATCAACTTCGTATTGAGGGATTATAGGTACGACAGGGTACAGGGGTCCGTCTTCGTCTGTGGGACATTTAATCTCCAAGTCCGCTTTCGACCCATCTGTGGTGCGAACCACCTCGAACGGTGTCCACTGAATTACACTGAACGTCCGGGGTCTCCACAAATAGACCGTCTCGGGAGAAGGAATCGCCCGAGCGAGAACGTGCGCGGCTTTCGATAATGTTTTCGTGAAGTTAGCCACGTCTTCCTGCCCGCCAGTACGAACGATCCCCATAAAACTGAAGTATATCCTTGGCACATCGGGGAAGTCCAGGTATGCGCAGATAGTGCGGAGAGCCGAAAGCTGCCCAAGAGCTTGTGCGATCTCCTCCTGATTTAGATGAGAACTTGATGCATCGCGAATTGAACCGTATACAACGTACCAGCCAAACGAGTTCATCATCATTCTGGGATGCGTAAGCGTGAGTAGCTTGTCGAGGGGCAATCCAACTGTGCATAACTCACCTCCGAAACTTCCCGCAGTCGATATCGATGCACTTGCAACCAGCTGAGCCGCGGAAATAGGACTGCGATACTGCGCAATAGATCGAGTTCCAGTCCATCTGCTTGGTACTCGATATCGAGGCGGGTGAGACAAGGGAGATGGCATGTCTCCAGCAAGCCGCGCAGATCTGTCGAAGTCAATAGCGGATACTCATACGCTTGTACCGTATATATGGGCTGTATTCCTATCCATGCTTTCTCCGACTTGTGTGGATAGCAACAGAGCGACAGTTCTTGGACGGACGGAGGAAGGCGTGAATACAGCTCGTCCTTCGCATGAGGATGCGACACCGACAGACGAGAAAGGTACGGCAACGGGAAAGACATGTCGAGCCCGGGAGGCCAAAGGGGATGTGTATGATCGAGCTCTCCTGTCACAAGAACAAGTTCCAGGATGAGAACACGGAGATTAGGCATGGCAGCAAGGAGGGAGAGGTATGACACCGGAGGATTGGGATTCCATTCCCCGCATAGTCGCAGCTCACGGAGATGAGGCCATTGCCATTCTGACATTGTGAGCATGGGCGCAGGCTCGCTCGAGAGTACCAGCTTCTCCAGCGATGAATGGAGTCGGTCAAGAACGAGGCGTAGCGCTTCCTCCTCCGATGGGAATGGATAGGTCTGACGGGTACCTATGGAGGTGAATCGATGGGACGGAACCTCATAGTGGAAGGAGGTCAGAGAAGAAAATGAGTCGCATCTGTAGTCATCGCCGGAGAGCATGGATGGGCAGAGCAGGAGACCGATGATGGAGACTTCTCGAACATGTGGAAGAGAGGATATCATCTTGACCGTGTCCCACGACAGACCGTGAACGACTCTCTTCCAAGTTCTGATCGTGACGCTATGCAGTACGGGCAGGCTTTTCAAAGCTCGCCGGAGACTGGATCCGCATATGACGCCACATAAAAAGGAATCTTCTGCGAATCGGCGACGGAAGACAGTCTGTTTGCCGAAAAGCTGGTTCATCATTCTCATCTGACCGAAGTCCTGGTCAGGACATCCGTCTTCGATAGTGAGGGTCCTGAGCGAGGTAGTTTGAGAATGTTACATCACCTTACATATAGGAGACGAACGCACTTCATCAGGAGGCCAAGAAATACCGGTAAGAACCGCACTTGGTCAGAAAGCGGAGCAGTCAAGTATCGTCGAACTTTGCGAAAGATAAGAGGTTTGCATGCGGCCTCAGAAACCGGCAAGTTCGGGAGAGAGGGAGTAGAGACCCGCGGACCTGGACGAAGACGATAATGCACCAGAGAGCATCGTCATGGAGGTCCAATAACCTGACCCGAGGGTTAGAGCGAGGTAATTGAGCAATAACATAGCATTTACATTAGTGACATGGAAGAAGTGTATGGCAGAGATAGGGGAGCTTTCGTTGAGTATATCTGATCAGGTCATCGTACGATACTAACAGGAGTCAAGCTGAAAGCTGAAAGCGATACAATCTTGGATTACATCATACATTCTCACACCTCGATTGCCGGATCGAGCACATCGTCGATGCGGCTCCGACCGACGCGGGCTCTCGCTCGACGCAAGATTTTCTCCTCCTTCCGGCATCTGTCTCCCCGCGGTTATTCAGGCTCAGTTTGCACACCGGGTCTCCTAGCCCAAAATTGTTTCCTCATCAGCGAGCCATAGCGAGCCGACGAGACTACACAGGGGACGTCGCCGACTGCTCATGCCGTCCCCCTGTCCTCCAGTAGGCCGCACTTCTCTGCAGTAACCAGCGAAAGCCTCGTAATCATAACCTACGTTGCAGCACAGGGATACATGTTCCAAGGATGCCGCGCTTACGCACACAATTTCAGCGATGAACTCAAGCGGCGCGCCCAGGAGAAGGGGTCTCTTAAAAAACACAAGAGAAATGATGTCTAGAGGCGGAGATAAGTAAAAGCTCGTTGTTCTATGTCGCGCGTAGACTATCTCTGACCGCATATGTACAGGCCGAACGGGTTGTAGGCGCATCCACCTCGACCTTACATCATCTATCTCCGGTTGCTCTCGCAGCTACCTACTCTCCATCCTGTTGCCGATGACCCCATAAAACTCGGCCATAAGAGATGATGGTGACCATGAACAAGACCCTGACGGTAAGGAGGATTTCTTGGTCTCACAAAGCTCGACTAGCTGGTGCCTACCCACGTCGCACAATTCGACGCTTTTTCAAGTCCCCTGAGACATTCAGGACATACCCGGAGTCTCACGGTTTCCTCACTCTCTTCGTTGCTTTCGTCGCCTTCTCGCTTATTCTCAATGATCTGGGCGGAACCATATGGGGATGGTCAGACTTCGAGTCCGGCGTGAAAATATGCCCTCAACTAACCTGGTCATTATATCCTGTTAACGTGAGCACTCGCTTCTGTATACTTTGCTCGAATGCGTTGCTCCATATGTACAATGTATGCAATCTCTATGGGCGCGGGGCAGTGTACACTGTCTCGTGATTACGCAAGCGTACCTCTATCACGCATCCGACTGGGAGAGAGACTACATACTCGGCTATCGAGGGTGGCTCATCCTCGGCTCGTATGCAGGAGTTCAACTCATTGCGGGCTGCCCGCAGCCAAGCCCATCGCCCTATGCGCCGTTGAACCCTGGCAGCCTGAGTTCTGCCCTCCAAGGACGGTACTGTACGGACTGATCCCCAGTACGGAGTCTCCAGGAAACTAGTACCTCTCCGCACACCCCTGGGCCGCCATTGCCGACAGTCGCGACGGTGGGCATGCCCTACAACTCATTGCACGTTGGGGTGGGCGTGCCTTTCGCGCCGAGCATCTCGAGCTTGCACGTGCATTCTCCCCGACGCCGACGCCAGGAGGGGCGAGGGGCGCGTGTTCGCACAGCAGCAGACGAATTGCAGGACCGCCGCACCTGAGAAGGGTGATCAGCTTGATGCGAAATAAGGTGTGCACACGGAAACGTGGAGTGTGCGAAGAACATCAGCAAAAGTGTAAAAATGTTGTCCAGGATTGGAGGTGGCGCCTTAAGCGCCGATTAGGGCGCGAGACGGTGCGAGCACCCGATATGGTAGCCAAGAGGGCCTGTCCGTGCAATACTCACAATACCGGGCAAGACTTGCGGCAAGCTTGCACGGCGGCGCAATATACCCTCGAGTTTCCATGACCTCACGTGTTTGCGCAACAATGTATAATGCTCATCAGTAGAATAATGAAACTCGACCAGTTTGGTTACAGGGTGCGACGTAGTTCGTCAAATTCACAGACTGAGCGGGCCTTGAGCATACGAGACACACTTGTGCACCTGGTTTGTTTCAGCACAGGTGTTCATGCGTTGGTAGATACTGGACAGTGAGGCGGTGGCCCGGGCCTGGTGAGTGAAGGGACAGTTCTCAAAGCTAACATTGTACTAGCTATGGTAGACCTAAGCATTACACGGATTGCATTCGTCCTCCCAAAGCAAAGCAAGTACCACTA